GAGTGGAGCTGGCGCTTTCGCTGGGGGCTGAAACCGCATCCGCAAACGTAGTAGTGATTGCGGCACCACATGTATGTGTCAAATGCTACCGCGTTCACACACACACACACACACACACACACACACACACACACACACACACACACACACGTGAAGCGAGTCCCCGGCCCGCGGACTCACGCTGTACTCCCGCAGCCAGGAGTCGAGCCTGTCGGGCAGCGACAGTATGTACTCGTTGGAGACGATTTTCCTCAGTTGGTCTGCCATCGCTGGCGCGGGCTGAGACGCGGCGTCGGGCGACCGCGGGTGGACGCGCGGCCGGGTGGTCCTCTAGCTGGCGGGGCTCAGCGCGCGGCTGCTGTTTCCATCCTCCCCCGCGGGGCGCACCGGGCGGCGATCGGGAAGCCGCGGGAGGTGCCCTGGGCCGCAGCCGCTGCCCCGCGCGATCTTGCCGCTCCCGGGGCCGGCCCGCCAGCCCCGGCCCTAAATACCCGGCGATGATTAAACAAACCGTGACGTGGGCGCGGCTGCGGGGGACGCGCGAGGCCGGCGTCCTGGCAACGCGCCCGCCCTCCCGCCGCCTTCCAGCGCTGGGCACCGCGGCGGGCACCCCGGGGCGCCGCTCCTGCGCCTGCTGCTGCTGCCGCTGCTGCCGCCCTTCCTCCCGCGGCTCTTAATACTGCTGGCCAGGGCGCCCGAAACCACTGAGACTCTGGTTGGACGTGGCCTGGAGGGCTCCAAGACCCGGGAGAGGGGACAGCACCGTGCCTCGATGGGCTATGGCGCTACCTGGGAGGCACCCCAGGCCAGAACCCTCCTTTCCCCGCTGGAGGTCTGGGGAACCTCCCCTCTGGGAAAGCAAAGGTAGTTTCTTCCTAGAGGTTTCTGGCTAGGCTCTTTCATTCTTCCATGTCACACACTTTTCATTAAAGTTTCATGTGTAGCGCCCCAGGGTTTGCGTGTATGAAATTGACTTGGGCTACAATTTCCGTTCTTCCCACTTGTCTCTTTTTGCTTGGCTCCTCGCTCCTCGGTGGGTGCCCAGATGAACGGATTTGAACTCCAGAATGTTGACAGACGGAAGCTAGTTCCTCGGTTTTTTATAGGACTGCTAAATCGCAAGGCCAGCGGTTCAAAACCATCAGCCACTCCCGGAGAGAAAGACCAAGAAAAGGCTTCTACTCTTGTAAAGAGTTACGGTCTTGGACACTCACAGGGGCAGTTCTACCCTGCCCTGTGGGTTCTCTGGGAGTTGGAATCAACTTGATGGCACGGAGTTTGGCTTTCTGGTTTAGAATTAGTAGACACTGTGAAGTGCCATTTTCTGGGAGTTCTGGTAGTACACGTGTTTTCAGTGCACCACTACTAACAGATTGGGAGACCAGCAGGAGCGCGGGGAGGAAGATTAGCAGTTTGTACTAAGCAGCTGCTCCTCAAGATAAGGATGAGGATGCTGGCTCCCATGAAGACTTCCAATCTAGGAAACCCTATGGAGTATTTACTTTCTCCTACAGCGTCCACACGGGGGGCCACTGGGTTGAGGTTTGGTGGTTTGTTTGGTGTTCCTGTATATCACAATCCAAGGGCTATAAAGGCACAAACATGTTGTCATAGTATATGACGAAAGTGGAAAAGGACACACACTTCTAAATATTCATTACCTAATGAATATTAGATATTCATTTGTCTTCCCTTAAAGGGGGAGCGTTGGATGAAAACCTTACAGATATCTTAATTTAGAACCAACAACTGCCTACAACCACTGTCATCTTCAAAGTGTGCTCATTTGCTTAGTCATAGGAGAGAGTATGTGTTTAGTAATACTGTACTAAACTGATGTTTCTAGTGCTTATTCTGAGTCCTGTTAGCACAGTGGATAACCTCTGGCTGCTAACTGAAAGGTCTTCCCTCCAGACTCCTCTGGAGAGAGAGTGGCAGTCTGCCCCCTGTATATTTACAGCCTTGGAGCTTGGGGCAGTTCAACTCTGTCCTTTAGGGGTGCTAGGAGGTGAAATAGAGTGGGTGGCAACCAGTTAGTTTGGATTTCTCTTAGCTGTGGACATCTTAAGCTTCTGCCTCGTCTATTAAAGAGAGACAATAGTTCCAATTTCATTGAACTATTATGAGACCAGTCAAGATCATTCCTGTAAGGTGCTTAGCAAAGTTCTTAGTTTTTCTTACTGTTGTAAGTGCTCAAAGAATGTTAAAAGCACTATTACAATGATCGTAGTATTTAGTAGGGAAAACCTAGGAACAGTTAAAATCTCTAACAATAGTGTTGGACAAATCATTCACCAAAATGTTGCATACTAAAAATCATGTCATTAAAGACTATCTAGTATGTAGAGATGCATACTATACACATTAAGTAGAGAGGAAACAGGGCTCTAAAGGGTACTGAAGCGAAGAGGCCACCCAAGCGAGCGAGATACAGGCTCCAGGAATTGACAGGATATCAATTGAAATGTCTCAACAAGCTGATGAATCACTGGAAGCACTCACTCATCCATGCCAGGACATTAGGAAGACAGCTACCTGGCCAGTTGACTGGAAGAGATCCATATTTGGGCCCATCCCAAAGAAAGGATGAGGAAAATTATAGAATATCATTAATGTAACACAAAGGAAAAGTTTATGGAAGATAGTTCAACCACAGATGCGCATTCACAAAGAGCTGCGAGCAATCCAAGCTGCATTCAGAAGAGCAAGTGGAAGGAGGGATATCATTGCTGATGGCAGATGCATCTTGGCTGAAAGCAGAAAATACCAGAGAACTGTTTATTTGTGTTTTATTGACTATGCAAAGGCATTTGACTATGTGGATCATAAACAAACTATGGAAAACATTAAGAAAAATGATATTTCTAGAACATTTCTTTGTGCCATACACAACCTATACATGGAACAAGAGGCAGTAGTGCGACTAGAACAAGGGTGGCATAAGATCAAGAAAGGTGTTCGTCAGGGTTGTAGCCTATCACCATACGTATTCTAGCTGTACGCTGAGCGGACAATCCAAGAAGCTGGGCTATGTGAAGAAGAACGAGGCATCAGAATTAGAGGAACACTTATTAACAACTTTTGACATGCTCATGACACAACCTCGTTCACGGAAAGTGAGGAAAAAGACTTGGAGCATTTGCAAATGAAGATCAAGGACAGCAACCTTCAGTCATGGATCACAGTTCATTCATGAAGAAGACCAAATTCCTCCCAAGTAGACCAATAGACAACGACATGCTCAATGGAGAAACGATTAAAATTGTCAAGAATTTCATTTTGCTTCTATCTACAATCAATGCCTATAGAAGAAGCAGCCAAGAAACAAATGACATATTGCATTAACGTGCCACTTTGAAATCTAGGGTGCACCTAACCCAATCGTGGTACTTTTCATTGTCTGTGAAATGCAGGTGAACATTAGACAATTAATAAGGAAGATCAGAAGAACTGATGCCTTTGAGCTATGATGTGGGCAAAAAGTATTTAAAGTCCCACTGAAAGAAACCAATCTGTTTTGGAAGAGGAACAGCCAGATTGCTCCTTGGAGGCGAAGATGGTGAGACATTGTCTCGTGTACTTCAGATATGTCATCAGGAGACTCCAGCCCCTGGAAAAGGACATCACTCTTGGCCGAGTGGAGGGTCAGTCAAAAAGAGGGTGATCCGAAACCGAATGATGCGCTGACTGCACCAGTGGACTGCAACATAGCACGAGTCCTGAGGATGGCCCATGAGTGAGCAGTGCTTCCTTCTGTTACACCGAGGATCGCTGAGTCAGAACAGATTGGAGGGTGCATAACAACAATGGATATTGTTACACTGGCACTATGAGGCCAAGGCTGAATTCTGAGTGATTTTAATTTTCTAGTTTTCTAAGTTTATACCTGTGTAGGAATTCATTTTATAACAGGTTAAACCCCCAAAAAAGTTACCAAAGTGATAAGATGCCATAGATCGAATTGTCTCCCCACTTCGCTCTCTCAAAAAAAGTGTCCACGTGCAGATGTGACGTGATTAGCCATTTGGGTGTAAGGGGGTTAGGGTGAAATACAATATCCTTACTCTGGTCACATCCCTGATAAGGGAAATTTCCCTGGGAATTGATCTGCATCCCCATTTAGCTTACAAGAGATCAAAGGGGAGAGAAATGAGCCAAGAAGGAGTGAACCATGAAGAACCAGGAATGGAATGCATGGTTTAGAGCCAGGGACACTGTCCTGAGAACCTCCTGGACCCACAGGAAGACTGATGCCCAGACACGTGGAGATTTCAATGGGCCGCCGAGAAGTCCCAAGAGGTTAAAAAGAGGACAGGACGTTCCCCCGAAGCTGAGAGAGAGAGAAAGCCTGCCTGAATTCCCAACACTCTGAATCCAGACTTCTAGGCTTCTAAACTGAGAATATCAATGTGTTTTTTAAAACCAGACATGTGTGTGTGTGTGCACTAGATAATTAAGACCCCAACTCTAAAACTTTGCCAACTCAGAAAAATGCTAGCCAAAATACCAATATTTAAGCTGCTGACCCAAAACAAGATGCTCTGACCAATATGACTTATTTAGCAATTAGACTCATAGGCTCTTACAATAGAATGGGTCTTGTAAATGGCCTTATAATATACCACCTGATATTGTTTACCTCTATAGCTTAATATCCAAGGCTCTTACAACCTGAAGTCATTTCATATACCTCTTGTCTTCTGAGAAACCAGGAGCATATCTTGTTCATCAGAGCAACTTTGTGCTTTTTGATAAGAGAGAAGCATTTGGTTTCCACTCAATGATCAAAAACCAAAAAGATGGTTTATATATTTATTCATTATGAATCCACAACTTCCAAACAGCAATCGGAAGATCACCTAGGGAGAAAGGTCTGGCATTCTGTTTCTGAAAAGGTGCCATTGGAAACCCTATGGCTCAAGCCCATCATGGGACACGCAGGACCAGGTAGCATTTTCGTTCTATTTCGCATGGAGTTGCCATGACTAAGGGACTGATTTAAAGGCAGATAAGAACAACCTACCAAAAAGGATCTGAGCTGGCTTGAATAAAAGATTCATCAGAACGGGGGAATTTTTTCTTTAAGAAAGAGAAAATAGAAATTTAAGCTTAAGTTTATATACGGAGATGAAGCCTCATTTTATACTTGTCTGTGAGCTTTGTGAAAGCCAAAGGATAAAGGAAAATTGGTCTTAAGGTTATTTATTAGACTTTCTTTTTCAGATTTTAATAGTACACATAGCAGTTCTTGGAACGAAAAGATTGACTAAGTAAAGATTCTGCCTGGGGATTGTATTGCTGCTCTAATTGTGTCCCTGAGGGAGTGATAGTTCAGTGGTAGGATTCTT